AAATTAAGCTAAAACATTTTATATTTTGGATCATCGGCCTTTGTTAGGATCATTAGATTCTATCAGATTGACATGCTTTTAAACTGGTTTAGATATCATTTATGTGAAATAAAGTTGTATGCTGACGACGTCCTCCTTAAAATCAAGCTGTTTTAGAAACAATAGCCATTTTACAACGTCTTTTAGTAAATATTTATTTATTTATTTATTTATTTTACCTTTTAGCCATTCCTGTGACCTTCAAGCAAAAGCTGAAGAACCAGCAAGTGGAAGAAGGACACAACATCACACTGCAGTGTGAGATTTCAAAAGCTGGTGTCCCAGTTGAGTGGAGGCTTGGAGGAGAGCAGTTGGAGAATGGAGAGAAGTACCAGATAAAGCAGAGGGATTCCACCCTGGAACTGACCATCAGGGATGCTGTGCCCGAGGACAGCGGCATCTACACCTGTGTGTGCAGAGAGCAGAAGACAAAGGCCACTGTAAAAGTCATTGGTATGGTTTCTGTGAGACAATTTTAGTACATTTTATCTTCCTAAATGTTAAGTGCTTGCCAGAAGTTTACAAACATGCAGCATGTGCATGAAGATAATATTACTTTTGGGCTTTAAAGGCTGCATTGAATCAATATTTATCTAGGTTGTAGCGATAAAGCCTAAAAAAATGAGTGGATAAGCTTGAACTTAATCTTTTACCAGATTCACACAATGTAAGCTAAATTCATAAATACATACCCTCCATGTGGAAACAGTATTTGGATGAAGATCTCTTGGCAAGATGTTGAAAAACAGCAGGATTCACATGTCAATAAGGATGCAACAAACAATTCTCACTGCATGTTAGATCATTCTTTCTTGTCAAATAGGAGTTAATTCAATTGGTAGCTTTCTTGGCGTGGTCTATTGATAGTCCAAATGTTTTAAATTTTATTGAGGTCAGGGCTACTTATCATTAGCCTGATTTATCCAGTGCATTGTGTTTTGAGTGTGTTTGGGATCAAGGTCCTTGTCAGAACACCCAAGCACAAGTAACATTTGCAAATGCCCACATGGAAAACCCAAAAGCCTTCAGAATATTTTTTGGTGTCAGAAGAGACAAAGGTTGAGCTGTGTGGTGACAGTGAGAGTATTTTGGATAAGTGAAGACCAAGGATCACTGTACAGACTGTCAAGTATGGTGGAGGTGTTGTTGGTGGCTAATAAAACCATATAGTCCAAATATCTTTGGAGATATATGGATATATTTGAGTCTGTATATTTAATTTGAAAGACATGTGAGTTAGGGGAAAGTTAGTAAATTGAAAAACTGTGCGCTCATTTCATGTTTTCAAAATTTACTATATTTGTATGTTTTACCATCATTCCACCCTGGAAAAAATTAAAGTGTATCATTAATGCATCATCAAACTTAATGTGTCATTCATGCCAATGATGAGTATTTCTAAAACTACTGCCCAGTACTGTATTGGAGGAGTTGATTTTTTATTTTTTTTTAAACTACTATGCCTTGCCTGTGCTTGGTTTAAATTCTCTCAATTATTTCTGTTTTAATAGCGGTTCCTGCCACATTTAAAGTGAGTATGAAGAGCCAAGAGGTGGCAGAAGGAAATAGCGTGACTTTACAATGTGAGCTGTCAAAGAAAGGAGTTCCTATTCAGTGGCTGAAAGAGGGTCAGGTGCTGTCTGAAGAGTTAGGCCGTAATAAATACCAGATAAAGGTTGAAGGAAGGAAAGCTTCAATGACTATTGTCAACGCACAACCAGATGATGCAGGGAAGTACAGCTGTGTTACTGGTGATGAGAAAACCACAGCAGAAATCAGAGTCAAAGGTAAGTTGGGATATAAAAGTAAACCTTCATAGCAGTTATACAATTTTGAGAATTACAGAAGAATAAGAGCAGATGAGCATGTTTGTTTAACGGATGTTTTTCAAAAACGCCACCACAGCGCTTCCTGTCACATTCAAACAAGAACTCCAGCGCCTGTCGGTCAAAGAAGGAGAGTGTGGAGTTTTCTGCTGTGAGCTCTCCAAATCTGGAGCTGCTGTGGAGTGGAGAAAAGGCAGAGTGATCCTGAAACCAGGAGAGAAATATGAAATGAAGCAGGAGGGCCATCTAACCAAACTCATTATAAACAACGTGGAGGAAAGCGATGCTGGCAAATACACCTGCAAGACTAAACACAGCCAATCCAGTGCTGAGCTCAGAGTGCGAGGTGAGAGCGAAATCTTTATGGCTTCTAAAAATACACCGGGACACTTTCTATCAATGATTTCAAATATTACATTCTTCTTTCTGTGAAATTGATTTACCGTGTATTCAACAGAATCACCTGAGCGCAGACGTCAAAGAGGTCAGCCTCAAAATAAAAACCAAAAATCACACTCACAGTGTCAGCTCCTTTATGTCTTGTATCCCTGAAGGAGACTTTTTGCTTCATATCTGTCATCCACCTGTTTATCCCAAACGTAGCTTAATGTAGCTGTAATTTGTGTTCATTCTGCCATATTTTCCTTTCCTGATGTCTCCTTGACTCATTAGTAACAATTGTATTTTGCACAGTTTGTTTCTTCATGTAAGTGAAATTACATGTCAAACAAGGTAGATCTTAAAAATTAGACACCCTTGTTGAAAATGCCTGTTTTTATGAAAGTACAAAGTAGGAACATTTTAAATCATTTGAAAATATTTTGATTCATATTCAGCTTCCAGTCTTCTTTTCTTGGCAATATTTAACATTACATGGTGGTTGTTAACATAATCTGTCTAATTGTGAACATGTCTTGTCCATTGCCAGTTTTTTCTTGATAAAAAAGATTCTCTAAGATTTCAATGAAATTTTATCCAGAGTGCTATGCCTTTTTAGTAACTAATACTATAGTGACAATTTTCTGTACTTCTCCTTTGTGTAATGACGTTCCTCCAATCCTTTGTGTCTTCTGCAAACTAGGACTTCAGCTAAAGGATGGACATGTGCAAATGTCAGGAAAAACATTCAAGGACAATTGAACATTTCTTCATTTTAAGTAATGTTCAAAGAAATCTCCAGATTTCTTATTTATTTTAAGTATCTACCAAAGATGACTGAAAGCTGAAATTCAATTTAAAGATGCTTAAACACAATATTAGCTTAGATTGTATATTTCGTTAATTACACAATTTATGGATTAAAGGTGAAAAAGTTTTTAAATTATTATTTCTAGTTTTGTTTTTTGTTTGTTTGTTTGTTTGTTTTTTTTTTTACTAAAACCAGCAATTTCAATAGGGGTGTGTACTTTTCTGAAATCCACTGGAGTCATTTCACATCAAAACAAGGGTGTGTTGTGTCATGGTGCCACCTAGTTAAAGACTCATTACCTAAATTATAATTATTTTCATGTAATCTGGTAGAAGTGGGTGAAATCTACTTATGACCGGAATAGATAGAGATCATTATGAGCATGACACTTCATGTGAGGACACCTACCTTTCACCTGAGACATCCTCCATTCCCTGCCACTACTGCCATCAGTTTTATCCTCTCTCAAGCTCAGTACCATGACAAAACAAAATAATTGTTTTGTTTTTTTTTGTTACTGACAGATCTCCCTCCACGCTTCAAGTTACTATTAGTTAACCAGGAGGTCACAGAGGGCAATGCTGTGGCTCTGCACTGTGAGCTCAACAAGCCTGCTAACTCTGTGGAGTGGAGGAGAGGAGGACAGCTACTCAGGAATGGAGACAAGTACCAGATGAGGAAAAAAGACCTGCAGGTGGAAATGAAGATCACAGACCTCACAGTGGAGGATTCTGGAGATTACACCTGTGTATGTGGGGAAGAAAGGACAACAGCTCAGATCACAGTGAATGGTGCGTGCAACTTCATGCAGTTTAAATCTTTGTCTGGAAAAAAGTAACATTGTTATAAGTTTGCATTTTCAGGTTTAAGAAGATATTTCTTCTTAAACCTTTCTATGTGTGATGCATTTAAATTGAAGGAAACTTAAGAGTTTTGGAGAAACAATGAAGATAAGATGTGTAGTAAAGAGACAAATGATGAATGGTGACAAGAAATTTACAAGATGATGAATTACACTGATTTGTCCATAATCCAACTAGTTTATGCTGGGAACAGTGTTAATAAATGTAAATGTATAACTGAATCTGTAATAAATCTGCTGTGTTTAGTATTCTAGTGCGTTTTTGTTGTGTTAATGGTTTTGACAAAACTGAAATACGTTTTTAGAATCAAATCAAATTATGATGAGGAGAGGTTGCAGTGAGGAGGATGAGTGGTGTAACTTGAGTTTAGAAAGAGGGACGAAAAGATTATTGTGCTAACATTTAGTGTGGGTGTACTGCTTAGATCAAAAGTATTCTTTATGCAACAACTTGTGGTACTGGGACGAAACAAGTCACAGTCTGAGTATGTTTCTTTTACTTAATGTAGAAAGGCCCATTAAATTCATTCAAGATCTGAAGAATATTCAAGTACAGGAGGGAAACGGCGTGGCACTCTGTTGTGAGCTCTCCAAACCGGGCTTCCCAGTGCAGTGGAAGAAGGGTGACGTCGTGCTCACCAGCGGTGAGAAATACCAGATCAGGCAAAACGGCTCCAAGCCAGAGCTTCTCATCAGGAAAAGCCTCCCAGAGGACAGCGGCTCTTACAGTTGCATTTGTGATGATGTCAAAACTACAGCAAGTGTTGCAATTACTGGTGAGACACACCACTACCGTCTTAAAATGAAATCATCTTGTGCATTGAAGATGTTGTAAAAGATCAGTTTTTTTTTTTCCCCTTAGCAATCCCAGTGATATTCAAGCAAAAACTTAAGAACCAGGAAGCAGTGGAGGATGGTTGTCTAACATTACGCTGCGAACTTTCCAAACCTGGACAAGCAATAGAGTGGAGGAGAGATGCACAACTTCTGAAGGATGGAGAAAAATACCAGATAAAGCAGGAGGGCCGAGCAGCAGAGATGCTGATTAGAACTGTAACTCTTGCAGATGCAGGAGAATACAGCTGTTGTGCTGGGACTGCTGTGACTTCAGCTGACATCAAAGTTAGAGGTATGATTCATGTTGAACGTATGGGGAAGACACAATATTTTCTGCAAAGTAAGAATGTTAAAGACATTTAAAATAGATCATCTGTATTGAAACTTCCTACGGTATTTTCCAGCTCTTCCTGTGACATTCAAGAAAGAAGTTGAGAATTTGGAGGTGAAGGAAGGAGACAGTGCAGCTTTCTGCTGCGAGCTCTCCAAACCCGGCGCTCCGGTCGACTGGAGAAAAGGCAGAGTCATCCTGAAGGCTGGTTACAAGTATGAGATGAAACAAGAGAGAGGTCTCACCAAGCTGATCATCAACAACGTGGAGGAGAACGATGCCGGAAAATACACATGCAAAACAGAGGACAGTCAATCCACCGCTGAGCTCACAGTCAAAGGTTAGAAGACAGAAAACACAATTAAATAAGGCCTAAACTTTCTGTTTTTGCGAAATGTGCTCCCTTTCTAAACCTGAGACGGTACTGTTAATTTCAGCCAGTAGCTTACATGTAAAATAAAAACAATTGTTTCAAGGAATTGTTGAAATAAGGTATTTTTCCATAGTAAAAAAAAAAAAAAAACTTCAGCTGTTAGAGCATACTAAATATCATAGAACTGAAGTAAAAGTTAGCAGAAGATCTGGAGGCTTACTTAAAAATCAAGAAACCTTTGTTTTAGGACTAAACAAAAAAACCCAAGGCAACGTAAATAATAAACATTTTCTTCATATTGCAGCTCCGCCCGTCACATTCAAAACAAAGCTAAGGAACCAGCAGGTGGAGGAGGAAAACAATGTGACGTTGAGCTGTGAACTGTCAAAGCCCGGCCTCGCTGTGGAGTGGGCAAAAGGGAAAGAGCTACTGAAGAGTGATTTCAAGTACCAGATTAAAAACCGAAACAGCATCATGGAGCTGACCATCAAGAACACCCAACTGGAGGACAGCGGGCTCTACAGTTGTATGTGTGGAGATGTCAAGACCACAGCGCATGTCACAATTACACGTAAGAGTGCTTGCTAAATTATAAATCTCATGAGGTGAAACAGCTTCCATGTCTGAGAGAAATGATCTTAAACTGAATGAAAATCAAAAGACACAATAGGTTTTCTTCTCAACTTTTTTTTTTTTTTTTTTTACTTTTTAGCATGATGCATGATCTTCACTCCTCAAACTGTCTGCACCACAGCAGCTTAAACTTATTTATGTTGAAGAGGAGACTTAATGATCGTATTTTACATGTTTTTTTTTAACATAAACTTTGCTTCCGTAATGTACATTTATTAATATGAATGATACTAATAAAATATGTAAATTAGCCACTCTAGGGAGTACTTTAATATTTAACCATGCCTTGACTTGCTGTACCTACACATTGCAGTACTGGAGAATTAAGACTACCTTTGCAAGTATGTGGGTCTGCAGAGTTACAAAGTCCAAATATTACAACCATGGATGCACTGTCTTTGCAGAAGGCAGTACCCCAGAATTATGTGTAACACTTGACCATTCAGAGCATAAATCCCAGCAAAACGGGGCTTTTTGAGGGAAAACCTAAATAGACACTTGCTAATTTTATGATGGAAAGCACTTTGAACTGCCTTGTTGGTGAAATGGGGTATAACAATAAACTTGATTGATTGATTGAATTGTAGCTACCTGAAGACAAAGATTTGGAGAAATGTTATGCTGTATAAGAAATATATTATTTGTCTTGAACTTTTAGGAAGGTATAAGAACTGATTCTAGCGAAAATTAACCAACTGAGTGTAAATAACCCAGGCATTTTATAATGCATCACAGGCCACTCTGGCATTATTCAGTTGAGGTTCTAATGCATTTCAAAGCTTTGTAGCCATACATATTGTATTTTCCATCTAAACCATAACCTAAGCCACGTTTTCTCAAAGTTTTGAGTGGTGAACATGTATTTATAGTGATAAATACTGCAATAATTGTGTAAATTAATTTTTTTGACCCTCTGTTTCCCCAGCCATCCCTCTAACATTCAAACTGGGTCTGAAGAACCAGGAGGCTCCGGAGGGAGGGAAAGTGTGTCTGCGCTGTGAGCTGTCCAGGGCCGGGGTGCCCGTGCAGTGGTGGAAAGGGGAGGACCAGCTGTACCACGGAGGGAGATTCCAGATGACACAGAGAGGGAACATGGCTGAGATGACCATCAGAAACATACAACCAGAGGATGTTGGAGAATACAGCTGCGTATTTGGAGGTCAAAAGACAACAGCTGAAGTCAACGTGAGAGGTAAGGGAAATAAGATGCTTACAATCTGTAGACTTACCGTATTTTTTTTTTCTTCATCCTTTTAAGGTTGGGATTCACTTTTTTTATTTTTTTTTTTTAATTTGAACTGAGCTCATTGCTGCATCCACCCTAACCTGCAAGACTGTGAATTAAGTACAGGTTATGCTATTTAATAAGCCAAAATGATGATAGTGACTAAAGAATTTGGCTTAACTCGACTTTATTTACAGCTTAATTTACTTCATGGCTGAATACTTTACTTTATCTCTTTATTTAACTTGAAATAATGTAAAGAACAAAGGAAATTAATAAGGTAAGTAAGTACAATAATTTTTGACACATTGATTAATAAATAGACTGTATAATTATCTACCACCCACCCAAGCCCTTGAGTGAACAATAACCTCACATGTTTGTGCAAATGTAATTTCTCCTTTTGTGTTTACCAGCTGCAGCATCTGTGTACTTTGAGAAGGAACTAGAGAGCCAAGTGGTTACGGAGGGGAAATCTGTGCTCATGTCCTGTGAAGTTTCTAGTGCTAATGTTCCTGTCACTTGGAAGAAAGACGGCACTGTGGTGGAAGACGGAGAGCATTACATAGTGAGAAAAAATGGCCCTTTGCACACTCTGGAGATTAAGAAATTGCAGCTGGCGGATGCTGGAGAGTACTGCTGCATCACCAGAGGAAAGAAAACCACTGCCAAACTGATTGTGAGGGGTAGGTGCAATGTATTCTGACCCCTGTTAATATCCCTGTTAATTTTTATCTGATATAAAAAAAATTAACACAAATATAAATGAGTAATAAGTGTTTGATGTAATAAATATGTCATGCATTTCAGCTTAAAACATCCAAATCTTTTGGGTAGAAAATCCATAAAATGAAAGAAGCTCTACACCCCTTTAAACAGTTACTTCTTTTTCTAGCATCCAGTCTTCTGTGGTAGACACGTGCTCTCAGTTATAACGAATCTGATTAACCAGAAGGAACTTAAAGCTTTTCTCGGTATTTGGTCATTTTGCATCACTGAGCTAAAATCAGAAAAGAGGTCAGGGATGATGTGAAGAGGCTGACAGTAACTGATTCAGCTGCAGGAATTTGTGACTAGTATTGGATGTGTCTCGATATTAAGCTTTTTTATTCTCAGTTTTTCTGTACAATGGAGTAGGGTTGAGAGATAGAAGCATTTTCTTCCAAAGACAACATCCAATTCTGACTAAAAATCCCCTGAACAGACCAGAAGTTTGATTTCTGGTCTGAAATCAAACTTCAACTTACTGTCCCAATTCCAAAAGATTGGCTTATGGCGAAAACAACACTGCGCATAAATAGAACTCCATACCCATAGTGAAACATTGTGGTGACAGTATCGTGATCCAAGGTTGCTTTTCTTCAGATGGGGCTTGGGCTTCTGTCAAGGTAGCCCCTGATTTAAAAAAAAAGCAGTTGTGAAGCAAAATCTTTAGGTGTGCTGAAGTTGATCGTTTTTAACTTTGTTTATCTAAAGAACTGGCTGGACATTGCTCCTTATTTTTCCGCAGAGCGTGTCAAGATTGTGAAAGAACTGCAGGACCTAACAGTGACAGCTGGAGAAGACGCTGTGTTTGTGTGCGAGCTGACCCATGCAGACGTGAGCGAGGGCATGTGGTGGCTTTGTTCGAGCCCCCTGCAGAAAAACGAGATGAACCAGATGACGTGCCGTGGCCGCCAGCACCGCCTCGTCCTCACCATGACGACACCAGAGGAGACCGGCAACGTAGCATTTGTAGTTGGGGAGGAAAGGACCTCTGCAAAACTGTTGGTTCTCCCTAAGCCCAAAGGTGGGTAAAAAAAAAAAAAGGGGGAGACGAAGTGCACATCCAGATTAAATCATCTAGTTTTCATTTGAACTTATTTGAACTTTAACATTTGACTTCAAATGTTAGTTTTGTTTGAGGAGAAACCCAAAGACACTGTCATCATGGAAGGAGAGACAGCTTTCCTGTCCTGTGCTACATCTGATTGCATCACCATGGTTACCTGGAAGCGCAACCATGTCCCACTTCGAAGTGGTGATAAATATGAGATGCGCAAGGAGGGTAAAGTCAATCTGCTTCTTATCCATGATGTGGAGCCCCAAGACACTGGCATATATTCCTGTGATACCGGAGATGTGCAGAGCAGTTTCAAGCTGACTGTAACAGGTAATTATTTTATTTTCTTGTTATAGGGATGAAAAGTCTAATTTTATTCTGTGTTTTGTTTTTTTGTTTGTTTTTTTTCATTTGCATCAAAAGTTTCTTCAGATATAAAATTTTACAAAACTTTCACTTTTGTATTTTATTCCAGAACTTCCTCCATACTTTCAAGAGGAGCTACAAAGTGTAGAAGCTGAAGAAGGAGGCTCGGCCTGCCTCTACTGTGAGATATCTAAACTAGGAGTGCCGATTCAGTGGAAAAAGGACAGGCTGCCGATAAGAGCCGGCAGGAAGTATGAGGTGAGGCAAGATGGCTGCTTTCTCCAGCTTTACATCAAAGATCTTAAACCTGAGGACAGCGGCAGCTACACGTGTCAAGCAGGGAGTGCAGAGACAAGTGCAACTGTGTCTGTAAGAGGTGCGTGAAGCTGGATTATTGGTCAAATATCGATGACAGAAAATTTAATTTATTGTACTTTACTCTCCAATCTTCCCTTAGAGACGCCCCCATTCTTCAAGAAGGAATTAAGAAGTTTGGAGGCTGAGGAAGGAGGTGCAGCTTTCCTGCAGTGTGAGCTATCTAAACCAGGGTTGTCTGTGCAGTGGAAGAGAAACAGACTGCCACTTCGGGCAAGCAGGAAGTATGAGATAAAACAAGATGGCTGCCTGTTCCAGCTCCACATCAATGACCTGAGACTTGAAGACAGTGGCAGCTACTCCTGTCAAGCAGGAAACACAGAGACAGCTGCTAATGTGACAGTCAGAGGTGACAATTCAGTCATTAGGGTCGATTTGATGGGGGAATTTAATTAATATAATAAACCACCAAAAACAAATTTCTGTTGTTCACAAATTTAATTCATGCTGAATATATTTGATGTTACAATATCTTATTTTACCCAGAACTCCCAGCTTTTTTCAGGAAGGATCTGCAGAACATAAAGGCAGACGAAGAAGATACAGCCTCACTTTTCTGTGAGGTTTCTAAGCCTGGAGTCTCTGTTCAGTGGAAGAAGAACAATGTGCCTCTGAGAGCCAACAGGAAGTATGAGATGAAGCAGGAAGGCTGCTTTCTACAGCTTAACATCAAGGAGATCAAACCGGAGGACAGTGGCTGCTACACTTGCCAAGCAGGAGAGGCAGAGACTAGTGCCACTGTCTCAGTAAAAGGTTTGTAATTTGGAAAATTGCAGATGAGATTTTGCGGTGTTACATCCCTTAATTATGACACATATTTATCAAAATGTAATTATTCTAAATTTGAACTCAGTATTTCATACACCACTAAACATTGCACTTCTATTAGGCATGTATTCCCCACCTTATATTATATTTTCATGCAAATTAGATCACATGTTCTCAAACCTTTGTGCATGATTTTGTATTTTCAAATATTTACTCTCTTCAACAGAGCTCCCACCTTTCTTTAAGGATAATTTGAAAAGTCTAACCGTTGAGGAGGGAGGGACAGCCTCCCTTTGCTGTGAGATTTCCAAGCCTGGGCTGCCTGTGCAATGGAAGAAGAACAGGCTGCCCCTGAGAGCAAACAGGAAGTATGAGATGAAACATGATGAATGCTTCATTGAGCTGTACATCAAAGATCTCACACTTGATGATAGTGGTAGCTACTCATGTCATGCTGGAGATGTAGAGACCACAGCAACTGTGACAGTGAAAGGTTATAACCTTCTCCTCCCAAAATAATTTGAAAAACTTTCTAGTTGTATGAAGTGAAATAACAAAATATAAATGTTCTGTATTTTCAGAACTTCCCACCTTCTTCAAGAAAGAGCTAGTAAACATGGAGGCCGAGGAAGGTGGAGCAGCATCTTTGTGCTGTGAAGTGTCTAAACCCGTAGCGTCTGTCCAGTGGAAGAAAAACAGACTCCCTCTTAGAGCGAGCAGGAAGTATGAAATGAAACAAGATGGCTGCCTGTTCCAGCTCCACATCAATGACCTGAAACCTGAAGACAGTGGCAGCTACACATGTCAAACTGGACCCGCAGAGACCACTGCAGCACTATCTGTGAAAGGTTTGTTGGTTCAAAAATCTCTAATGTTGATTTTGATGCACAATGTTTCTAGTCACCAGAAGAGAATCAACTAGGCAAGATAAATATATGCTCTAAAATATTTGGCAGTTGTGAGTTGAATGTCTTCATGTAATTTTGCATAGAAATGTGCAAGATTTAAAATGTTTTATAATATTTGATAGAGAATCCAGTTTTCTTCATGAAAGAATTACAAAATATGAATGGTGAAGAAGGAAGTATCATCTCTCTGTGCTGCGAACTTTCCAAACCTGCTCCTGTGCTCTGGAAGAAAAACAAACTGCCTATGAGAGCCAGCAAGAAGTATGAGATTAAACAAGAAGGCTCCATCATTCAGCTGCATATAAAAGATTTAAAACCTGAGGACAGCGGGAACTACACATGTCAAGCAGGAAATGCAGAGACAAGTGCAACTGTGTCTGTAAGAGGTGCGTGAAGCTCAACAGGTTCTGGATTATTGATCAACTAACACAGAGAAAAGAATTGATTTATTGTATTTTTCTCTCCAATCTTCCCTTAGAGACGCCCCCATTCTTCAAGAAAGAATTAAGAAGTTTGGAGGCTGAGGAAGGAGGTGCAGCTTTCCTGCAGTGTGAGCTATCTAAACCAGGGTTGTCTGTGCAGTGGAAGAGAAACAGACTGCCACTTCGGGCAAGCAGGAAGTATGAGATAAAACAAGATGGCTGCCTGTTCCAGCTCCACATCAATGACCTGAGACTTGAAGACAGTGGCAGCTACTCATGTCAAGCAGGAAACACAGAGACAACTGCTAATGTGACAGTGAAAGGTGATGATCCAATCGTTAGGAGGAATTTGATGATGAGATTTGGCTATTATAATAATCTACCAAAAACACATTTCAACTGTTCACCAACTTCACTCATGCTAAGTATATTTGACGTAACAATATCTTATATTTCCCAGAACTCCCAGCTTTTTTCAGGAAGGATCTGCAGAACATAAAGGCAGACGAAGGAGATACAGCCTCACTTTTCTGTGAGGTTTCTAAACCTGGAGTCTCTGTTCAGTGGAAGAAGAACAATGTGCCTCTGAGAGCCAATAAGAAGTATGAAATGAAGCAGGAAGGCTGCTTTCTACAGCTTAACATCAAGGAGATCAAACCGGAGGACAGTGGCTGCTACACTTGCCAAGCAGGAGAGGCAGAGACTAGTGCCACTGTCTCAGTAAAAGGTTTGTAATTTGGAAAATTGCAGATGAGATTTTGCGGTGTTACATCCCTTAATTATGACACATATTTATCAAAATGTAATTATTCTAAATTTGAACTCAGTATTTCATACACCACTAAACATTGCACTTCTATTAGGCATGTATTCCCCACCTTATATTATATTTTCATGCAAATTAGATCACATGTTCTCAAACCTTTGTGCATGATTTTGTATTTTCAAATATTTACTCTCTTCAACAGAGCTCCCACCTTTC